CCCCCCCCCCCCAATTCTTAGAGGCGAACATTTTTCTTCTGATATGCAATGAGGCTGAGTTCATCTCAAAGGGTCCCATCCCACAGCCTTCTTTGCATTTGAAAGAAAAAAAAAAATCATGAAAATGGATGTCAATAAGCCGAGGGTGGCAAAAGGAAAGGGAATGGAAGTCAAGTACCATAAAGAAATGGTGCCCATTTGTGTAACCTGTGATTAAGGTGCTATTCGTCATCCAAGATTAAAGGAAGAAGTTTATTACATTGAGTAGATAGATACAAGAGAATTTCCAACAATTGGAGCTACCAGTTACTTCCAAAGGAACACAAAGAGGTGCATTTTATCACTATGACTACTTCATTCTTTTATCTGACCAGAACAGTGGATCCATTGGAGCCACAAGCTCAAAGACTTGTGTGCTGCAGTGATGTGTTCCTTACATTAGCTTTACCAGTTGGCCTATATTCACTGTTAACAAATACCTGCTAACCAATTTCTATGTCTCCCCCATAGGTTGCATTTGGAAAACCCTTCTATAAAGGAATAAAATGTACCTGTTTACAATCGACACGTGACAGACCAACAGACCTAAATACTGCAGCGTCCTCCCTTGTTAAAATAGGTCCCTGGGAAAGACAGTAGCTGATTAGTTACTTGAAGGAAATGTACTGTCTAGAAGTAGTAATTTAAGGAAAAATAAAAGGGTTATTTTAAATTAATAGCCGATTTTTTCCCCATGGCAAATATTTTTAAATGAACAAGACTGGAAATATGAACTATATTCCTGAGGGAGTTCTCAGTACAGTGTCAACACGATTATTACAAGGAACTGATTTACTCCCGATAGTCACAAAATTGAACTCTGGATATTGAATCAGTACTGCTGTGTAAAACTCACATTGAGAATATTTAGAAAGTGGAGTGGTGGGTTATGGCATCCTCTGGCCGTATTTTCAGAAATGAGGTCGTAGTGTTTTTTACTCGTCAGATACTGAGCTGTCTTCCTAACGACTAGCTTTTCCTAGGAGGGCCCAAGGCAGGGTGCAGTCAGAGACCAAGGCTCTAAGCATCACCTGACACACACAAGATACAAAATACCAAGAAGTCTTTGTTAGTAGGCACCATTATTAATCATCTCTTTAAAATACATGAACATAGTTTTTTAAATAGCCATGGAAGATTTTATGCACACACACACACTCACGTGCACAGATGCACAGAGCAAGGTGTGATTCTAACCACTGTCCTCCATTTCTCAAAGATCGATAGTTAGCAGCTTCTTGTGTATCCTTTAAGAGATGGTCTGTGCAGCGTTTCATCACTTTTAAATTTGGCAATCCCACTGTTCTTGGGGTTTTGACAAGTTTTCCACCTGCTATCAAAGGATATTCTGAAGCCAATATGTTCCTAAATTGAGAGCAAAAGGAAAAGGAAGCACTGTAGACAAATGAGATCCTGTGTCACAAGAAACAACGGATACTGGGGAAAAAAGGTATGAAAGGAAAAGGTAAGTCTGCTATATTTGGAAGAATATGTTTTTTTTCCTATTTAACAACATAGCTTAACTAGGAAACATAAGACTTCGGAGTCAGACACTGGTAATTGGCTGTGTCACTGTGTTACTTTGGTGATCATGTAATCTCACTGGCTTTATTTCCTAAATTATAAAAACAGATGATGTTAACTATCACATAGAGTTGTGAGGTATCGCGCATAAAACCTTGTAAATGGTGACTATTATTATTTTCTTAAATATTGTTTAAAGGAAATGGTTATTGTTGTACTTTAATTCTTTTTCTTCCCTTCTAATTCCACCTCAGTATTTATTTTTTTAATTGAAATATAATTGACATATAGCCTCCTTAATATTTGTTGATAATATATCTAAGGATTTAAGCATCCTCCCCAGGAAAATAAATTTTCCTTGCAAATGAATTCTATGGAATTAAAAAATACCACACTGAAGGTTAAGTTCTAAGAGACCTCTTCAAGTATATTCTATGGTATAGACCAGTATATCCTACTGGTCTGAAGGACATCAGAGGAATGAGAATCATCACTGAAAAAAGATCTTGGAAGTACCTAATATATACTATATTTAGTCTGTTTCCCCCCACTATATTTAAAACAAGGCTGTGTATCATAATAAAATCTTTATACCTACGTGTTACATACATATATGAATGTGTGTATATCACATATATATGTATAGTATGTACCTCACACATGTAGATATAGACCTACACAGTTTTTTGCTCATAATCAGTATTTAACAAACATTTATTGAATTTAACTCAGTAGACTATTTTATATGTATGTGTGTGGGTTTAGTGATACACTGCTGGTTTTATAAATAACACTTCTATTTGACCAAGAAGTAACAAAAATGAAAAAGCTAATGGTGAATTGGACATTGGGTAGGATATTTTCCCAGTAAATATAGAAACCTATATTTTCTAATAATCTTCATGTGTATTTTTAATTTGACTGCATTTGTAGGCTCCATTTACAATAAACACTTACTAGTGGCTGCTAGAAGTACACATATGGCACCTAGTTTATATTGAGGTCTCTTAAGCAAATACAATATCATTTGTAGGGAGGCAAGAGAAATGATTCACCTAGTAAATAATTCCATTATGCTCACTTGTATTTTATTTACACAAAATTAATTATTCCACCTACTACTATAATCACAAATTAATCCTCAAGATTATGAGGGGGAAAAGGTTAACAGTAATTTATAGGGCCTGCTTTCTAGGTTTTTTTTTCAAGTAAGAACATAGTTGGAGTCTAAGCTATCACAAGAGCTAGCCCTTTTTAGAAAAACTCAGCAAAGTAATTGTATTTCCAACTCCACTCACATTCCATGCCACTTCTTACAACTTTGCAGATGTTTCTGTGAGCTGCGATGTTTCCTTTCCCTTCAGAATTTATATGCTGGACTGTATCTCAATGGCGTCCCATCCTTCAGTGTGGTCTGGCCCTTTGAGATAGCCCTCCACAGTTTTGTGGGGATTTTTTCATTCATTACAATCTCTTTTGGTAACAATTTTCTTGAAGGCTGACCATGAATCTGACCTCATGCTTTCAGTAAGATCACGGAGTTAGGACTCATCTATTATGAGAGTCATTACTTTCAGAAATATTTACCAATGCACTAAGACACTAAGAAATATATACTAGACACTAAGAAATATATAATGCAAGTAGTCTCCTCTTCCAAGTCTCAGTCTAGTAAGGAAAACGGATAAGAAAATCAACTGCAGCACATTGCAATTACTGCTATTAGGAGGTATATCAGGGTATCAAAGACTTCAAAAGAGGGACACTTTCACACTTATGGATCAAAGGCGATTGACACCAAAGCTGGGACTCTAAGGAACCAATAAAGATTAGCAAAATGAAGAAGGAAATGCTGTCCTAGTCAAAGGGAAGGGGTTTTAGAAAAATCCAGAGGCATAAGACGACCTAGAGAATTAAAGAAATTGCAAATGGTCTGTGGCAGGAATACTAACAATGGGAATTTTGAAAAGACTAATGGAAGTCAGATCACTGAGAAGCCTTATACATGCATTATAAGGAACTTGAACTTTAGCTGGGAGATAATTGGGTGCCCATTGAAATAGGAAAGTGATATAAGCATATTTACCGTTAGAAGTTGGACTCTGGCAATAGTTTGGTGGAGGAATTGTAGGAGTACAAGAGACCTGTTATCCAGAGGTAGTAAGGGGGCTAATGCAGTAATTCACAGGAGAAAACAGGAATGCCTAGACCATGAGAACTATTTCAAGAGCTATTTGGACTGCCTATGGAAATCTTACTATCGTGCAAGTATGCTCTATAAGCCTTATGGCAGCCCTGGAGCTAACAGACATATATCAAAAGTAAAGTATTTGATCTTGTCACAAATTGGGGAAATATCAGACCCTCCAAAAATTGTTCTGCTATGTCAATTGATCATAAAGTCTTCAGGATAGGAAAGAATTTAAGGTTATTGAGAGATTCTAATCCAGTGATTAAATTCCTGCCAAGAGGGGATTTAGCCCATGTTAAAGAACTCCAGTGAGAACAATCCACTATTCCCTAAGAAAAATCTCAAATATTTCCTCTAACTTAAAAAGAAAAAAACAAACAAAAAAACCAGGAAGCTGTGTAGGGTCTTGCAAGTCAAGAATATAGGTGTTATCCACATTTTCCACTGACTTCACTCCCACTCTCTTCCTGAAATTCATCTCTGTATAGTGATGCATAATTTATATGACTTTATGGGAAGGTAATAAAAGGAAGCTATTCCCTAAGTAAAGTAATTTGGGGGTCCAAGAAGCAAAGCTTCTCCTTCCTCAACAACCCCCACCCCCAAGCTATCATGGAGTCTCAAGTACCATCATTAGCATTTCTGAAGAAATGGCACATTAAACTAAGTCGCACGTGGGTGTTAATGACGTATCAGATAGATTTCATCCTGACATTGGGGACCCTGGGAAGTACAGAACCACTAGCAAAGGAAAGAGCACCAGTACTGGAGAAAAGCAAAGCAACACTAAGGCAGGATGGGCCAGAGCTTCCCAGTGGTCCACAGACAGAAATGTGTGGTTGATGGCACAAGAAGGACCTGGAATTTGTTCAAAATACTGTTTGTAGGACTCCTCCTAGTAATATGTTTGTCTCAATAGATCTGGGGTAGATTCCTGGGCAATTCTAATATGCAGCTAAATTTAGGAACTGTTAGGTATGAAGCTATAGATACAGTTTTATAAAAAAAAAACCACAGGACCCCCATCTCACAAGAACACAGAGTCAGTGTCCCTGTTCAGCGTAGGGCCATATTGGTTTGTTCATACAAAGCTGCTGTTCTAACTTCTCTGAGGTGAAGCTTATAGGGACAGTCAGTGGCACATTAGATGCCTGGTGAAATGTGTCACTGACTTTTTGAAGGCTGCTAAGACTGCTCCAACAACAGCAGGCTTTCAGCGAGCAGGGTGTTGATGAGCACAGAATGATGCATACACTTTGCCTTTAAAACTTATTTTGGCAGTTGTAATATCTGTATCTCTGAGGATGAGAGTTTTGTGTAACATTCGATCTTTGGCCCTCATAATAGGTTTGTGACGTAAGTGGTGGGCTTAAGCTCTGTTTTTTCTTTAGAAAATAGGCAAGGACGTAAAAATGCCTTGTTGTAGTCGTTCTAGTGACAAAAACGTTCTCATGTTATAATTGAAGCATTCAGAGCAAAGATGTAAAAACAGGCCCCAGCCGGTTTGACTAGAGCATCGTCCCGATACACCAAGGTTGCGGGCTCGGTCCCCGGTCAGGGCACATACCAGAATCAACCAATGATGCATAAATAAGTGGAACAGCAAATCGATGTTTCTCTCTCCCCCTTCCTCTTCTAAAATCAATCAATAAAAAATACATTTTAAAAAGATACAAAAATGATAGCATTTCTTTAGCCCTTTGCAGTTTACAAAACTCATTTTCATGTTTGATTCTTCTAACGGCTCCGTACTATTGGTAGGATAGGTGCTAGGATACCAGTTTTATAAATGAAGACAAAGCTCAAGCTTTGAGGAACTTTCCTAAGATTTATGAGTATTATAAGTGTTTTTTTTTAATCCAGCTGTGAAGTGAAGCAGAACTTTTTACATTGTTTCCTGTTTTCTAAATACTTCTAGTAAACTCAGTATATTAATTCAGAAATTTTAATAATTTTTACAAAGACTTGTTTAGTTGCTCCTAGACACGTAGTACAAGTTGGATGATCATGAAAGCCACTCCCGTTTTCAGTACCTTAATTCCCAGCCCCATTGATCCTAGCTATAGGAGAAAGAGCACCCATCTGTATTACATTCTGAGTTAGAGTGTATACCGCACCCTGGAGAACATTGCTTCAGTTGCAGAGTGTGCCACATGCCCCTTAGCTGTTGCCACAAATGCATCTTCAGTCGGCCTTTCCACCATTCTATCAACCAGTGGCTTTAGGGTGAGGAGGGACGGGTAAGACTGGATGAGCATGGTCCCCTTTGTCTTCATCTCTATACAGACTTCCCTCAGCAGAATTGGTGCTATGTGGATTACCATGACAATGGATAAGCCATTCTCTAAACCCATGGATGGTGGTTTTGGCATAAACTTTATGTGCAGAGAAGGGAAAGATATAGAGAAAGTGTCTATTTCAGTGAGAACAAAATGCTGCCCCTCTCTCGAAGGAAGTGGTCTGACATAATAAACGTGCCTGCAGATAGGCGACAGATCCCCCTCAGGGAATGGCTCTGTGCAGGAGGCTCAGTTTTGGTTTGCCCTAGCAACAAAATCACATCTGGAGCAGTGGCTACAACTGTAATCGCTATCTGGTTACATTCTCCAAGGTCTATCTGTCTTCTCCAGGCCGAGTTAGGCAATTTGAACAGGGATGTGGTAGGAATCACCACTCCTGCATCTTTCAAGCCCTCATTGGTGGCACAAATTGCTGCACTCTCTCCAGGAATGCAGTTTACTATATTCATAGACAAAGGCAGTTCTAGTGGCTCCCAGTTGGCCTTTTCTGACATAATAGTGAATCCAAAAAAATGATGATGAATCATATTATTGTCATCTCATTCCCACCAGATCCAGACCAGCCAATGATTCCATATCATCACTCAAATTCTAGTGAGCTAGTGAGTCTAGCTTTTCAATGTAAACTATACATTTCTTTATCTGTAATTCTTCTCTGCATCTTAATGAAAATGTTTATTCTATTTTTGTACTCGTATTAAAACAAGTTGTATGTTCATTAAGATTACAAAATATTAATCCAGTGGTCAATTTTAGTATCACTATTAGTGGGACAATGCGATATAATGCGTTTGCGAATGTGATACAAGATGAAATACACATTTGTATTCTAGAAAAAAAAAAAAGTTGAATCTGTGTGAGCCTTTATATTGAATTTCCAGTTTACAGGAAATACAAGGGTAGAGGAATAAGCTAAATGACTTTATGAGAAAGCCATTGAACAAATTCAGAATGTGGAGCATTCTGTGGAGCAAGGACTTAGCCAGGTTTCTCAGGCCAAAGCTTATCCCCTCCACACGCCGCTGCGTCTTAACATGTGGGATTGTGTTTCATTCCCTTCCCATAAATGGCTCTGGTACTGCATGACATACTTTTATTTTCAAAAAGGACTTAAGGAGGAGGTATTTCTGCTATAGACTGTGTTTTGTTTCTTGCTTAAGGAATATTTGCCAACCAGAAGTAATAAATATATTCTGAATTTTTTTCTAAAAAATTAATTAATTAAAAGGATTAAAGGGGGAGGGTAATGAAAATAAAAAATTAAAATCTTTTCCAAGTACTTTTAAATTTTCTGCTTTAACAAACACTTTGAGTTTCATAAACACTTTTTAGTGTTTACCACATCCATATTTTCCAGTCTTCAAAGTAAATTGAAAAGAATGATCACAACTGTTTTGAAACTTAATCAGTTCTAATGAGAATAATACCTATGAAAAGGGTATGAAAACCTCCACCTCCCTACATGGAGGGAGCAATTTTTATTTACTAACTTTTAAAACTTTGTAATATGGAAAAGTTGAAACATACAGAAGGGTCAAAATCAACTCCTGATCAACTTTGTTTCATTTTTTACATACACCCACTTCTTCCCAAACTCCTAGATAATTTATTATTTGTAAGAGTGAGTATCTTTCCCAAATTAAAGAATCGCTAGGAATATCCTAATGCATGTCATTGATCAAATAACACATTTTATGAGGTTGGGTCACCCAGGATTTCAGCTTCAAGGTGTTTGTAATCCTTTCCTCAAGTGCATTTTCTCAAAGTCTGGAGGCTTAGTTCCTGAGGGACGTCTTTCCTAGAGCCCCTACAACAAGATAACTCTGATCAGCTGTTTTGAGCACACCTACGTTTTTAGAGCAGAAACAGATGATGGTTCTTTACTAATAACACTCTGCAATTTGGGTTATTACAGCTGATTTTAACCATTGGTCTAAATTCTGGGCAATGGAATATGAACTGAAGTGATTTCTGCCATTACCAGGTCTTTCCCTTAAGGAAATTGACATGCTTTCACTTTGTCCTTCTGGTTGGGATGCAGAGGTGATAGTGTGGAAAAGAGCAACCAGCTTGGACCCAGAGACAAAAGCCACATGTTAAACGTGGTAGTGCCTCTTTACCAGCCCAGGACCACCTATCTGGGCTGTTAGGCGAAAGAGATATAGATGCTTGTTTTCTTCAGCCGCTGTGTTTTAGCGCTTTTTGTTATAACAAGCTTAGGTTATCCCATAATTAACTAATACACCTATAAAATATTAAGACTGAAACCAAATGATTAGGTTTTCTTTTCTATAAGCACCTTTTATTTACATAAGAAGAACCATAATTTCTAAGCTCTTCAAGGACAGAGATCATGTCTTACCATTTTTGTATCCCTAGATATATGTATATCTAGGGATATAGTAATGCCATTCCATTTTTAAAGATATATGTAAAATCTCTTAATAAATATGTCCAAGGAGCTTCAGACCTCCCTCAAATTTCTCTACCAAGAACATCTTAAGTCATACTGTGGACTAACCCCATGCTTATAGCATTTCTTTCAAAAGAGAAATTGAAGTAGCCAGAAATGGCAGTACTGGCTTCCCTAAGACCATATGGCAAAATTAGAACCAAACCAGGGGAAAAAAGCCTGCTCCAGCTCTAGTGCTGTTGCTTTACCACTGTTCTATAGGCAGTCTGTGGCAATGGAAACGAAAATCATGTCATCTGAGAAAAGAATAGAAAATATGCAGGTCTAGTCAATTCCAATGCCTGACCTTGCCCGGTTCTTTGTCATATGACTGCTATGAGCTGGCATTTTTAGAAATGCGAAATTTTCTATTTGAAATTTAGTTTCGTTTGCCTAGACCTGAATAATAGGTAGTTAGAGCTGCAGTAATGTTGCTATAGTCTGTCAATACAATAAGTGATTTTGTGAAAGCAATCTTGATATTAACTAACAGTAATGCCACTCCATTTTTTAAAAAGCAAAGTAGTTCTTTCATACAGCTAAATAGGAACTTAAAGACTTTCATACTTAATATTAACTGTGGGCCTGATTTTTCACTGATTTTCTAGGCTGTTTTAGGCAAGTAAAATTGAGATCAATTTTTAGGAGGGTTAATTTTAAATAGAACTTAGTTAATTATTGCTTGACAACTACTGGTCAATCTTTTTAAAAAGTATAATTGACATAGTGAGTAGATATTATAAATTATACTGTTCAGCAAGAGAATAGAATTCTATTAATATATTGAAAAGTAAATAATTTTTTTCTCCTTTTGATGTACCATTTGATAAGAAGGCTTGTCTACTTTTGTCAGAAAACAGAAATAAATTCAGTTTTTGTTTTGCTTGTATTTTATTTACATTCAAGACAGTATATTAGATAATTTTTAAAGCTAGAAATTATACACCATATAGTTTGTTTAAAGCAACTATACTAGTTCACGTTCGCTGGGTTAGATCATGACAGTAAACTGCTTTTGGCAGAAACAAGCCACTTCTAAGATATAATATTTTTCCAGATAGGGAAATAATTATCAAGGAACCTTCAATTAATTTCCATTAGTGCCTCAATATTTGAAATAGCTGTGGTGCCACTGAAACAGTCTTTAATGATGTGTATAAAGCCACAGCTAGAGAAGCAGTTTACCATTATTTCATAATAAGCTGACTACAGAACCATAGCTTGGTTTGTGGTCCATATGTCTGGGGCCAGGGTTGGAGACAGAGTTCCCGCCCAATAGGTTTCTCCCCCAACAGCTTCTGCTGATCCCTACATCAGTGTTTCTGAAAAGTCTGTTCTGTAGATGCCATCCATCAGAATCACACCTTCTGGATCGGCACCGCTGTTTCCCACCTGTCCAAGGATAAGAAGACAGTCACTGCATGTGTCATATAACGGAGTCCGGGGCTAATGAATGACAGCAGCTTGCGGAAATCTTTCCCACTCCACTCCCATCATCCACTGAGAAAATTTAGCTCGCTTGAAATAGTGTTTGAATACCAACCAGACATCCTTTGTTATCGGTGCTCATGTTTTAGGTAAAAAGTCAATCTAGCCATTTATCAAGAAAAGGGAATTTAAAATGGAATATCAGGTCCTAGCTGGTTTGGCTCAGTGGATGGAGCGTCAGCCTGCGGACCGAAGGATCCTGGGTTCAGTTCTGGCCATGGGCACGCACCTCAGATGCAGGCTGGATCCCCAGCCCTGGTCGGGGCTTGTGCGGGAGGCAACCAAATTCATCGCCCCCCCTTCCTCTCTCTGAAAAGCAATGGAAAAAATATCCTTGGGTGAGGATTTATATAAGTAAATAAATAATAAAGTTGATGGTATGAAGAAATGGGCTAAATTAACAAAAGAGATAACAATTCTACTTTGCGGATGTGAATGGGAGGATTACAAAACAGTAGTCAAGTTTACCTTATTTTAATAAAATCTACCATTACAGCTTTTTTGAATTATAAATCTGATTGGCAACCATCTGCTTAGAAGTCCCTCGTGGTTCCCTACTGCTGGTCAGATGAAGCTCAGATTACCCAGGCTGCAGAATTGATCTTGATTTGGTTCCAAACAGATCTGAATAGCTCCAGTCCCTGCTGATCTCTCTTATGGACTTATGTTCCAGCTGCACGGAACTTTAAACTGTTTTCTGAACAGACTCTTCTTGATATATTTTTCTTCTTTTCATATTATAAAAGGAAAACACAATCCATCAGAAAATGCTGAAAAGAAAAAAGTTAAAATCACTTCCATAGTCTCACCACAGTTAACAAAGTTGTGTTTTACTTTTTGAAAATAGACAAATGGAGCCACAAGCCAAAGAATATAGGCAGCCTCTAGAAGCTAGAAAATAGGAGGAAATGGATTCTTTCCCAGAGGCTCCAGGAGGAACACAGCCCTGCTAACACCTTGAGTTTAGTTCTGTGAGACCCATTTCAGACTTCTGAACTTAAAATAAGAAATGTAAAATAAGTGTGTGGTATGTTCCTTTAAGCCACCAGGTTTGTGGCAATTTTTACAACAGCAATAGGAAACTAATATAATACCTTAAGAAATTTAAGGTACA